TGCGTCACTGCACCGGGACCCCCCCTGTCACCGCACCTGGGACCCCCCCGTGTCACCGCACCCAACCCCACCCTTATGTCACCGCACCCTGCAATCTCTCCACGTCCCGGGGCCCCGTTACGTCACGGCACCCCGGATTCCCTCTACGTCACGGCAACCCTCTACATCGCCAAAGCCCAGGACAACCCGGCTCAGCCCGGCCCGGCCACCCCGAGGCCTCACCGCAGGCGCCCCTGTCCCGCTCCACCGCTCTCCCCGCGAGGAGCCGGGCCGGACGGACTGCGGGATGAGCTGCCCGCACCGCTAGCCCGGCCCCGGCCCCGCAGCACAAGGGGGTGGGCGCTGCCCTGAGCAGCCACGGGGGCCAGCGCTTTCTCCTGCTGGGAGCCAGGGCTCCTTGCTGATGCCCTGCAGGCCCTCGAAGGGAGCAGGGGGCATTGACTGTGGAGGAGACACAGGCGAGGTGAACCCAGCCCCTTCCCAGCCCAGCCCCAGCTGCTTAGGAGCTGTCCCCTGGCTATCAGCACCGCAGAGACAACCGCTAGCCAGGGTCCCCCTGAGCCCCCTGGCCCTGAGGCAAAGCTGTACCAGGTCCTGCAGCCTGTAAGGGGGGACATGGCTGCCCCTTGTCTTGCACACAGCAGGTGCCAGCCACTGGGCACCAGGGCTGGCAGGGCAGTTCAGCACTAGCCCAAAGCCAAAACTCAAGAGGCCTAGTGAGATCCCTACCCCAAGCCCCTGCTACAGGCCTGTGCCCTGGCCCTCTGGGGGGCTGTGCCCAAGCCCACCACTGGACCCCCCTTGAGATGCTCTTTTGGGGGTGCAGGGTGCTAGCCCTTGGCTGGCCGGGCTGCCAGGGGAGGGTGCATAGCCCCGGGGCAGTCTGTGCTGCTGGGACAATGCAGCGCGCTCCAAGTAGCCTTGCCAAAATCAACGTGGAGCTGCGCACACATGCCGGCCAGCTGTGCCGGGCAGCCAGGGAAGCTGCTGCTGACAGGAGGCAGCTGCCACGGGCGCGGGGCCTGGGGATGCCTGGGTCCCTTCCATGCAGCGGTGCTGGGGAGCCGGCCAGCAGGTGCGTGGGTGCTGGCCCCGGGGGCGAGGCATGGACAGATGCCTGCTGCCAAGACAGAGGCAGACTTTCTCTGCTGGGCCCAGAGAAAGGGGCTCCCCATGAGCCAGCTCTAAGCTGAGGAATGCAGTAGGGGCTTCACCATTGACACCATCTACTCCGATCACTCACTGGATGGGCTCCTCACCCCACGGCTGCTCTGTGATGGTCCTACAGGCCTTACACTGGCTTGACCCCCCCAAGCCCTGTGACCCACATCTGTCACGTGCTGGCATTCCCATCCTGGCCCCCACTTGGAGGGCTCAGCTCTGGACCAGTGCTGGTTCGGCCAGGCTGGGTGGTGCCCCTTGCTCTTGGAGCGCAAGGGGCTGTGGCGTGGGAGGGTCCTTGGGTCCCATCCACTGTCCTGAGCCAGCTCCCACCACAGCTCCTTCACCCACATGGGGAAGTGGCCATGCACAGTCCCTGTCACAGCACTTATCCCAGGATAACTCAGCATTTTATCCCGGGGTAACTGGCAAATGGAAATTTCCTCCTGGCTTCCCCAGAAATCAAGTCACAGTGGAGCCCAGCATTTACTCCAGCATCAGTGCCATGTGCTGTCCCTCCGCTTTACTGATGTTGAGACTAATCAGGAATAAATGTCATGTGTCCGCACCCCAAGGCCCCTCGGGATACCCCCGGGCTGGGGACTGCCTAGGGGTTAAGGACTGAGCTCCTGAACCAGACTCACTAGTCTGGGGGTGCTGGTGTGGGGCAGGGGGACAGCTGGGTGCTATAGTATGGAGCTGTGAGTACTTGAGGCCAGACCATTGTCACTGGCATGCCTTGGGGGTCTCTGGCCAGCCAAGGTGGGTAGAAAGCATTGCCTCCTACCTCTCCTCAAGCACTTGTCACGGTGCAGCCAAATGTGCCTCAGGGCCTGCACTGATGGCTGCAAACCAAGGCTGGAGGGGCTGCATGGGAGCTGAGAGCCCCCCAGCTGGGGAAACTGAGGCACCAGGGGGCATGAGCTGCCCACAGCCCCTTCACGAGCCAGGGGGTGAAATTGGGATTGAGGGGTCCTTTGTTCCAGCAGGGGGGGAAAAAAAAGGGTGGGGGCGTTCCTTGGTTCAGCCAGGCACCACGCACCACGTGCCGGCTGCTTCCACCCTATCCGGAAGCAGGCAGCTGGTG